CTTCTAATAGAATCTTGGTATCCCTCATGTGCCCAGACTGATGCACGGCTCACAGTAGGCATTCAATGAATGTCTGGACGTGTGAAAACAAAGCAAAACAAAACACCCTGACAAGAATGAGATATTTACACAGATATGAGAGCGAGAGACAGAGTTAGACACTTGCAGCTTTCTCCTAATAAGTTCTGGTAGAAGAAGTTCCCTCCAAGGGAGGCTCGGCTCTACCCCTCTGTGCCCTCAGCTGAAACCAGCTCCTCTGTCCCTCAGTTTCCCACCAGCAGAGGGAATCATTTTCTGAAATCTGACTGTGATTCTAACTCACACACCAAACCACGGAAGGGCCGGAAAATGAAGGAAGAGGCTTTAACTTCAGAGAAGGCAGTTTGAGAGATAAAGGCCAAGGAGAAAAACAAGAAATACTTTAAAAGCCAAAGATGTGATAAGGACGATACCTCTGCTGACTCGAGCGACAATGAAATGACTCGCTCGTCTCTCTGGAAACTGTGGCCCGAGTCAGGCTCCTTTGCCTTTTGTTGGCTGTGGAGTAGGCGTGGCCATGATTGCATCACCGGGAATTTACAGGGAAAGATTCTGGGGTGGTTTTTTTTTTTTAATTTTTAAAAATTGAAATATAGTTGACTTACAATATCATGTCAGTTTCTGTGTACAGCATAGTGATTCAGTTACACACATATCTATTCTTTTACATATTCTTTTTCATCATAGGTTATTGCAAGACATTGAATATAGTTCCCTGTGCTGTGCAGTAGGACCTTGTTGTTTATCTATTCTATATATAGTAGTTTGTGTTTGCCAATCCCAAACTCCCAAATTGATCCCTCCACCCACCTCCGTTTTATATTTTTTAACGTTCATTCAGCAGTATACTGGCCAGAATAATGGCAAATTATATACTTGATAATAGTGTTTACAGAGCTCCCAGGAGTTTCCGACTTGGTTCCTTTATTAGTTGCTTTGTTCTAAACAATGATAAACATGGAGTCTTGGAAAAAGGGAAGAAGAGCAGGAAACTCGTTTCTAAAAATACTCAGTGGGGAAGAGAGGGAGAACTAAAATCGGAATTGTAGATGGCTAGAATGGGAGAGAGGTGCAAGAGCTGTAGATTGTGTTTTGGCTTAATTTGTTTTTTGCACTGCAGGGCTGAGGATGAATTGATGGAACACTTGGCAGTGAAGGGCTGGCTCTTGAGGGAAGAGGTTCCATCTTTTCTGAAGAGGGAGGTTTGCTTGAGTAGGCGACAGCCTCCTGGTTAGGGCAGGGTGGAGGAGAGAAGAGTGATATTCAACCACAGAAGTCTTAATCCTCTTACTCCTCTGAGCACCTCAGTCCATTTCAGACTGTAAGTGGTGGAGCTTCAGGAGAAAACTGTGCCCTGGCCACGTTAGAGCGAAGTCGCCACCTTCCAGAGCCCGAAGAGAAGCCTGGCCTTCTTGAGGCTTAACTCCAGCTGTGTGAGGATCACTGCAGACTCAGGGAGGTGTGAGCAAGGCCAGAAGCCAGTGGCTGGCTTCAAGAATGGAGATGAGGGGAAAGGAAAGGACTCATAAATGACACTGATTCAGTGCTGCTTGGTCGTTATTGTCAAAGATTTTTGGCACCCCGAGGCTAGCCCAGTTTGGGTGGTAGAACACCAGAATCTTGGCAGATAAATGTTTCAGGTTTTCTGGTTGGGGTTTAAGCCTCATAATTTAAAATAAAGGAAATAGATGGGAAAAGAAGGTGGGGGAGAAATAAAAATGTAAAGAGAGGAAGGCAAGGCACCACAATGCAACATACTGAAAAGCGAAAAAACTCAGAACTAGGAGTCACGTGGTCTGTGTGAGTTGGGTAAAGTATTCTGTTTGGTCTTGTTTAACTGCAAATAATGAGGCTGGTTAGGTGATCATTGAGGTCTGTCCTAGGTGCAAAATTTCTGATTCTGATTCACTTGCCCAGTCCAGTTCCTGCTGGTCATAGGCCTGGTGTTACAACAATTATAAATAAGAGCCACGGAAAATACTGGCGTCTTGGCTGTAGGCAGTGCCAGGGTAGGACCAGGTTGGACAGATCGGGGTGGATCCTTTTGTGAACAGTGATGGCCGCCAATTCTCTGTATCTGTGGTTCTCCTTTAGGCAACACAGAAATGTTATCCCTGGTCATTCCCCTCGGCCTCCCACAGATCTTGTGAGGACTATTACTAAGAAACAATTGCAAAGCACGCTGTGAACGTGGGCTGCTATGGAGATGCAGCTAAACAAAAATAATAACAGCACTAATGATGGCTTATGTCGCTTGGGAACAGTCGTGTATGGCCATCATCGTAACGCCTGAGTTCACAGAAGAAAACAGAGCTCTTATTGAAAGTAATGGTTTGAAACTTCAACAGGGAGGACATTTTCAGGTGAAAACCTCCACTGAAACCCTGAAGTTATTCAGTTTCTGGGAGGAATACATACCACCTCTTTGGTAATCCAGGAAAATACCCTTGGTTCCACCGTCAGTGGCCACACCCATCCTGGCCGATGTCACATCTCCTGCAGAGAATTCCTCCAGTGTGGCTGATGACTTTCTCAAGGAAGGTTTGAACTTTTCTCTAGACAGCCAACTCAGGTTGGAACCTCGTCTAGCCTTTTCCTGCACATGACCTTCTTGGAAGCTGGTTTTTAAAGACAAAGCAATGTGCGTCAGGTTTACAGAGTGAGAGGTCCTTGCTTGGTTTGGGGGAACCTACTTTTCTGTGAGTGTGAACAAAGGTTGACTTGCAAGTAAGCCTCACTCAGCCCCAGACCACCTCTTCCCAGGGAACACGGAGAGACTCTAGGTAGAACTCTGCTGGAGCCCAAGGGTGTTTGGGGGTTGTCGTGCGACTGACACTTTGGGTGGCTTTTCACGCACCCACCTCTTGACTTCTTTAGGGGAAGGGTATGGCTCAAGTGGTGGAATGCATGATTAGCGTGCAGGAGGTCCTGGGTTCAGTCCCCAGTACCACCTCCAAAAGCAAACAAACAAACAAATAAATAAACCTAATTACCTCCCTGCCCACCTCCCCCACCAATAAATCCTTCTTTAATCGTTTTTACCTGACTCATCCAGAAAAACATTATTGTGCACTTGTTCTATGCCAGGGATTTTGCTGGGCATCAGTGTTTTTCTTTCATGATTCACAAAATCAGGTATGTGAGCTGAGATAACGCAGTATTTTGGTAGGTGAGTGGATATGCTTTATAAGCTCCAGAAGCTGTGGGTCCAAAAAATCACGTGACGCTTTCCTTTGAAAACTGCTTTATATAGTTACAAAGAGCTCTCTCTCAGCCACCCTGTCTCACTGGAGCCTCGCTTTACCTATGAGAGGTAGTGATTACCACACCCTTTCACAGCTGAGGACCTTTGAAGGGGTTAAGTAACCAAACGATGGTCCCCAAAGTGGCAGAGCCAGTGCTCGGATTCAGGTCCCAAGTCCAATCTTCTCCTTCTGCTGCATAGAGAAGCTCAAGTCTCTTATCACCACCAACGCCAAGTGACGGGGCTGAAACTGATCATCCTTAACGGTCTTTCCAGCCTCAAACAGTGTATCATTCAGTGATTCTAGGATTCTTTGTTAAAAAAAAAAAGAAAGAAATGGTTTGAAATAACCTCCATCTCTCTTCTCTCCCTCCAATGAAATCTCGATTTTTTTCTTTGAAATACAGGAAAGGGGTGAAGGTGATCAGCGTACCTGAGTGCATGGTCAGTGGTGGAGTCTGGATGGGGATTTAGTGACACTCTTGCTATTGTACGTGGAGACAGGAAACACCTATGATCATCTACAGAACCAACTTTAAAATCATTGTGTGTAGTTGGATCTCTCAGGGTGCTTGAATGAAGAGAGAAAACATGACTCTTCTCTATAAGGGAATAGCAATTATTTCCTTTTAGGTGATAGAAAGCCCCTTCAGAGGAATGAAGTGCGTGTAAAGCATCACATGCAGAGACGATTGACCCTTTGGCTCAACCCTCGCCCTGTTTAGTTATAATGTTTTTAAATTCCATGACAGTGGGAAAGAGGAAAGGATCTAACAGTTAACCATGTCTTTGATGATCCTGGCATTATAATACATTATCTCCTTTAATCTCTAATCAAACCTGCAAGGTAGGCATTCTTAGTACATTTTACAGAAGAGGAAGTCAAGGTCCCGGAAGATTAAGCAACTGTCTAAGGTCACAAGGTTACCAAGTTGCCTACATGGGATTCAGACTCCAGAGTGTGGCCTCAACCAACCACAAGACCTTCTCTTTTTCTTAGCACGTCTTCCTTTCCTTTGCTCCTGTTAATTTCTGATTTTTTTCTGCTTTGTCTCCTCTATTGAAGGACGTAGAATGATATATGTTGGAGAAGGATGCACTTCAGATTCCATCTAAATTAAACTCTCACTTTATTACAGAGGAAGCAGGCTCAGAGAAGGGAAATGCCTAAGTCTCAAGGTCACACGGAGAGTTCATTATAAGAGTGGGAATGAAAATGGAAACTCACTGTTTCTTGATTTCTAGTTCGAAATATCCTGGCTCTTTAGTAAAGAAAGGTAAAGTGAAGAAAAGATATCTCTCCATGGCTTCTCGCCCGTAAATAAAAAAGAAGTTTAAAAAAAAAGAAGAGAGACCCTATTCAGTGAGCAAAACAGCCATGGTTCCTGCTCTCCTGCAAGCTGACAGTACTGATCAGTAACCCCCACATGAGTAGATGTGTACCAACTGAGATGCGTGTAGTGCACGCATTGAACAGAGGAGCTAGTCTTAGATCGGGCGTGGATAGTTCAATGGAGAGGGAAGAGGGAATATTCCAGGCAGAGCAAATTCCATGGGGGTCAAATTAGTTCAAGTAGGGCATTGAGGCTGGAGCCCAGAGTTGGGGTGAGGGGTAGGCTAAACCGGTGGTGAAATGGGGATGGGGAGAAAGGCAAGAGCCAGAAAGGCAGGGCCTTGTGTAGACCCCACTAACATCTTTACCCATTTAACTTTGCAGAAACTTTGCACAAGTGCTCTGGAACTTGGAGAGCAGAGGGATGGCTGTGGCTTGGGGAAGATGGAGAAATTCAAGTTGGCAGAATCAGGAAGGGACAGTTTCATGATCAGCCAGCAAATCCCCGTTTGGCCGTGACCCCTTCTCTTCGCCTAAGGGTATTTGTTCCCTAATTTATGTGCATTTTTGGCTTGTTTGTATCTCAGATTCCCTTTCTCTCTCCTCTTGCGATGGTGGTAAATAGGGCTGTGTCCCCTCTTTTCCTTCTCCTTTGGCTGTGTGCCCTTTTTTCTGTCTTTCACGGAAGCTCTTTTAGAAATCAGAGTTCATGGGAAAGTCTCCTGTGTGGCAGCAGTCATTTCTGTGCCTGTGTCTCACTTTTCTTCTTGCTGGCTAATTTTGACTATCTAATTAGAAGCACATTTTTAAGGAATTTCCTTTCCTTTTGAGTCATTTTCTTCATCGGAGTCATAGTTACCTCTGGTCTGAACTTGTTTCTCAATTTAAAAAAAACTTGTATTACCTTTTTACTTTTTTAGATTCTAAAGCATGTTTATTAAATATTGGTAGGGAAATGTGCAAAGAAAAGAAGAAAATAAACATCCCCCCACTGTTGAATAACTAAAAGTAGTCACTATTACTATTTTGGTGAATTTCTTTTCAGTCTTTCTTTTTTCAAGGCATACATAGATTTGTTTTTATACAAACGAGATACTCATGCATTTTGACATTTGCTTTCCTGAAATCTAAGGAGCATGTATTTGGTAGACCATGCTCATCGAATATCCATCTGCCCATTTGTGGAATTACTGGATAAATGCCTGTCTTCATTTCCTGGTCTCCCTTGCAGTTAGATTAGGGACACATGGCTTGTCTGGCCAATGTACTGTGAGCAGGAAGTGAGACGAGATTTGTTTCACCTCCAGGCTGATGCAATCAAGGACCAGTGTGTGCCTCCGTCATTGCCAACTTCCCCTGATGCAGCAACTTCGGAGGTCATGTGTCCCATATGTTGTGGTTAGAAATGCATGAGGTGTGGCTGCTAATGCATGAGATTAAAACAACCTGCATTTGTGTTAAGTTGCTGAGACTTCAGAGTTTATTTGTTACTGCGGCAAAACCTAACCTATTCTGATTACAACTATATCTGAGGGTCCTTCCTTTCTCTATCACAAACTTCAAAGTAAGATGCACTTTTTCTCAAAATTCCTTTCAGATAATCAATTCCTTCTTGGACAGAAGTGTGTCTAGATTAGCATTCCTCTTGCCGCATTCTTCGGCCTCTGGGAGATGAATTTCCCAATAAAGCAAATCAAGAACTTAATCAGATGCTTTCATTTTGGCCAGATATTCCAGATATAAAGATCAATTAGCTGTGAAAACAAGATAGCCAATAAAAGTTGGTACTGTCGAATGAACATCCCAGAAACAAATCATATAATTACATTAAAAATCTAACATTTGTAGGGTGCTTTACAGTTTTTCAAGGCATTTTTTTATAAACATAAATATAAGCATCTAATATGATGTGAGACTGACTTATTATGCATGCAGATGGTCCTTTGCAAAGGTCTTGTGCCTAATGCATAATAGTCTCCCTTCCTTTGGTATGAACTCCTGGCTGCTGGAGAGGATGGGCCCCTGATTAGAGCAATTCTGGCCCAGAGTGGCCAGTGTGACAGACAGTGTATTTCAAGAGAGTTAAGTCTGGCTCTGACCTTTGGCAATTTCCACACATCCCTGGGCTTTCCTTATCTCTAAAGGGAGGAAGTTGTGCTGGATGATGGCTAGGGTTCTTCCAACCCTAACTGTCCAATCCATACTTCATGATTACCCTGAACATGTCCTTTTTCTTCCTCTGGGCACCTCTGTGCTCTTGAAATTTTATGTTCGTATAGTGGAGCCCACGCTGGACTCATTCCTCACTGTCCTTTTGTAGACTGTCTCAGCCACACGTACAGTTGAGTCACAAATAGATACACGCTTTTCATGACTTCAGTGGCAAATTTGATTTGTCATTCTGAGTAGAAACAGAAATAAGTTCCTCTTCTGCTGCAGAAATATAGGACAGTTGCTGATAAATTAGAAAGAAATGGCACTTTTATTCCATCTGTTAAGTGGTGATGACTCAGACTTGTTTTCTAGAAAGCTTGAGATACATGGAGGGCCATTTGGGCCCTCAATTACCATCAAGAAAAGGAAGTTTAAGTTTCTGAATCTGAAAGGCTGGACAAGTTTTGGAGTGTTCTGATATAAAAGGAACATCCAAGGAAGAAATACTATCTTAATTTCCTCTCTCCTGGATTCGTCCATCCAGGGGGGTCTACTATCCAGTGCTGTTCCCCATATGCCACTATATCCCCTGCAGGGTTGCTCAAAGCATGGTGGCTCACCTGGGCGAGAAGGAGCAGCCTGAGAGAGCCTGGACTCAGGAGCAGAACCTGGAGGCTGAGAGAAGCAGGTATTCCTATAGCATACTTCCATGGAACCTTCCTGAAGTCATCTTGCCAGGTCCATCATGTGTTAAGGCATTGTAGTGGGAGTCACAGGGAAGAGGTGGCAAAGAGCTCCACTTGCCCTTAACAGGCCTGGAACTTGCGGGCAAGACTTGTGCAGATGACGGTAGAACAAGTGGAATAAAAGAAGTGCTGTGATAGAGACAGGAACAGACCGACGGGGAGGGAGGGACCGAAGCAAACCCAGAGAATTAGGGAAGCCTTCCTGGAGGCTGCATTTTAGCTCTTGAAGAATTAGATTTAGGAGGTGGAGAGCAGGTAGTCCTGGCTGAGGAAACTGGGTTAGCAAAAGCATAAGGCATATTATCATATTAAGTGAAATAAGTCAGACAGAGAAAGACAAATACATGATAGCACTTAAATGTGGAATCTAAAAAAAATGATACAAATGAACTTTTTTGCAAACCAGAAATAGACTCACAGGCATAGAAAGCAAACTATAGTTACCAAAGGGGACAGGGGTGGTGGGGTAGGGATAAATTAAGAATTTGGGATTGATATATACACACTACTGTATATAAAATAAAGAATAGGACCTAATGTATAGTACAGGGAATAATAATAACAATGTATATTCCATGTCTTGTAATAATCTATAATGGCAAAGAATCTGAAAAAATATATAATTTAATCACTTTGCTGTACACCTGAAACTAAGACAACATTGTAAATTAACTATGCTTCAATTAAAAACAAAAAGCATAAGACATAACATTTCATGTCTGTCTCTCCTACTGTGTGGCCCTGGGCAAATTCCTTAAGTTTTAGAGCTTTGATTGCCTCATCTGTAAAACTGGGCTTGTAATTCTTACTTCATAGAGTTTTGGAAGGATTAAATGAGATTGTGTTTGTAAGAGTGTTCAGTTTAGCGTTAGTTTCTTTTTCCTTCTTCCCCAATCCAGCATCCTCCCATCTCTCCACATTTGCCCAGGCTGTTCCCCCTTTAGGATTCATTCTCCCCCCTCCTCCATCCATGTAATTTGGATCTTTCTTTACTGCTCCAGGTCCCTCCTTGACACAGAATGGAAAGCATAGATTTGCTGCAGGGAATGTCAAATCTGACTAGCCAAAAATCGGGTTATAGTCAAAGGAATTCTGAGTAGAATGCAAGCTTGTCTATAGTCAGTTACAGTAGGCTGAAATAATTATTAAAAGTTATCAGTTCATTCATTCTTTCATAGAAGATGGGGATCTTTGATCCAGGAATGTGTTTGGAGCTGAGGAATGAGGTGCGATTATAAGAAGCATGGCCTGAGTCTCATGGAAGTGTGTCTGCTCCCAGGGACGCCATATCTTGCACATATGGTCACAGTTGTGGGTGGTTATTAAGAGAGGGGTGGTATGGGATGCTATGGAGCTAGATACTAGGTGGGGGAGGGGAGCACATAATCTAGTCTGCAAGGTCACAGAAAGTCTCTCTGAGAAAGCAACATAATGGACAGGAAGGGTGGGATTTAGGCAGATGAAGGACAGGTAGGTGTAGGGAAAGAGGTTTGTGTATTGGGCAACGAACAGTATGTGCGTAGACCCCGAAGTTAGAAGGACCAAGCTGCACTAGAGAAACCGAAAAGGGGCCCGTCTGGCAGAAGTCAAAGGAGTGAGGGGCAAAGTGGCATAAGATGAGGCTGAAGAGCAGGCAGGGCCAGGTCACAGGCAACCTCGTAAACAGATTAAGGACATTGGATTTATCCTGAAGGCAGTTTTGAGGCGTTTTTAAGCCGGGCAGTGGTCAAATCGGATTTCTGTTTTCAAAAGATCTGTAAGAATTCTGCAGGGGAGAAAGCAAATGAGGGGAGAAGGCTATTGGATCATCCAAGTGAGAGATGAGGATGGTTTGGACTTGGATGGTGGCCATGGAGATGGGGAGAAAAGGATGCACTTGAGTTATCAGAAGGAGTCTCTACATGACTTGGTGATTAGTTAGATGTTGGGGTGTGAGGAAGACAGATGGCACCAAGGGAGCTACCCACTTGGATGGTTGATGTATGTGAGTTATACATATTCTGGGAGGAGCGGTGAGGAATAAATACCAAAGCACCATTTTCTGAGAGAAATGGTGGCAGACGTGGAGAAAAGGATGTGGAGTGGGAGGAGCCCATGAGGCGAATCCAGTAGGAAGTGCACCCATGTGCTGAGAGCTCAGAAGACCGTGGGCTACAGCTGGCGATGTGGAATCCTTAGCAATGGGAATCTTGAGTGGGTGAGAGAGTCGGGGAGGCACACCTAGCAGTCAGAAGGCAAAACCCAGGAAGTGCAGCTAAGGGGACTGGGAGGCAGAAGTCAGGGAAGTAGGGCAAGCAGGGAGAGTGTGGTGTCCTTCCAGGGAGCGGGCTCTGGTCCATCCACGCAGAGATACAGCTGGTGTGCCGCGCACGTCAGCGCAGCTGCAGCCATCGCCGGCTCACCTTTGGTGGTGCTCATTGCTCCTTCCAGCTTGCTCTGACTGACCTGTTACAGCGCTTTCATTTTCAGTCGCCCCGAGCCCATTCTGCCTCCAGCTCTTACTTGACTTAGAGGAAAATACTCTGATCAAATCTTTGGTGCAAAATTTCCAGGACTGAATAGGGTGCAACTTGCAGACATTTATGTCTCTTAAAAGAAGAGCTTGGAGAAAGCCAGGTCTTACTGGGGCCTGGGAGCTGTGCTTTTGTGAGGGCTACTGACCCACTGAGAAAAGTCAACACATGGGCATCAATGTGCGGTGTAATTTAAAATTTTACAAATTAACATCAGACATCATAACACTTCATTCAATACTTGTATAAATATCCCTAAATCCCGTTAAGACTAGAGGTGAAAGAGGAGAGAAATAACAACTGAATAATAAAAATATATTAGAGAGGTAGAGGGCTTGTGTCGGAGTCAGGAGAAAAGATGGGAAAGGTAGGCGGGGGTTCCCAAGTTGCGGCGGGCCTCGCGCGGTGTAACATCTGGACTTCGTGAGCAAGGGGGAACCCCTGGAGCGTTCTGAGCAGAACGATGCTGTGACGCAGAAAATTCTGACTGTGATTGTTAGCACAGGAAGTGAGTGAAGCTGGGAGCCCACTCTGCTCCTCCTGGTGGAAGGGGAGGAAGGCGCGGTCTGAGGGGCAGTGATGCGACCAGGTGGAGGGACCGAGCTGAGATGCCCGAATGCGGAAGGAGGGACTGACGTGGTGGGTCAGCGGTGTGCAGAGAGAAGAAAGAGGACTCTGGGCTGACATCAAGATCTTGAGTCTGGACAGCAGAAATGGAGAAGTCTGGAGGAGGAAATGGTTCGGGGAGGAAAACGATGATTTAGGCTCTGGACGGTTTGAGTCACCACGTAGGGTAGGCTTAACCGATAGAGAAGCATTTCCCGAATTTCCCCATTTTGGTTAGTTCTGCTTTATCTGCGGTCCCGGGAATTTCTATAGACTGGAACCAGTGGCCTTGCAGAGTTTGGAAAGAAGGAATTCATAGAAATAAAATGAAAAGTGAAGAAGTGACGTTTTTCTTTATCTCATAGGTTTGTGGGAGGAGACAGGATCCTCTGACTGTCAGTCTAAGATGTCCTCAAATGCAGCCTGAAAGGCAGTGGATCACACATCAGAGCCAAACTTCCAGTATTTAAAACGAGAGGGGGAAAGCATAGACTAAGTAATAAATGGTGTTTGGGAATTAATAATCCTTTGAAAAAATAAAAAATGAAAAGATTGCCTTCTTTTCTTCATACCAAATTCAATTCCAAATAAATTAAAGGCTTAAACATTAAAAAAAATGAAATCATAAAATTACAAGAAGAAAATAAAGGCAAATGTTTATATCATCCTGGGACTCAATTTCCATAGGATAAATTTTCTCTGGCTAAATTTCTAAAAGTGGAATTCAGACTCCAAAGGTTTATGGACATCTTTGCCAGACTGTCCCTCCGGGAAGATTGCGTCCCTTGACCCAGCCACCAGCATTGTATCAAAGTGTCCATTTTCCCATACTTTGACCACTGCACACGATTTTCACTGTAAAAAATTCATTAATTTTCTGTTAATGAATTTTACCCTTTTTGATTTTTTACTGTTAGCTTTTACGAGCACTTCATAAAATAATAATGCAAGCTCTTTGACACAGAGGAGGCAAATTTTTTTTCCTTTTGTTCTGCATTTTAGCTACTGAGCCATATCTGTATGATCCCATTTTTATAAAAAACAAAAAAGACTGGCTGGATGTATATCAATATGTCAACAACAGAAATATTTTGGATTTTTGATCACAGATGTTTTAAATTTTCTTCTTTGTGCTTTTCTTTATTTTAAAACATTTCTGTAACAAACAAATGTTACTTTTGTTATAATAAGAAAAACATTTAAAAATGTTTAAAAACCATTTAAAACATTAAAAAAAGTCTTCCCTAATTGCCTATGAAAATTTTATGAAGAGATCTTCCTCTGGCCTTCATTTCTTGGGAATTTTCTCTTCTGAGGGCCTGAAAGGGGGGTGAGCACACACTCCTCTTTTTGTTGGACACCTTGGTGGCTTTTTGGGTGGCAGACCCTTGTATAAAGGTCCTTCTAGTCTGTTCCTCATGCTCAGCATTACTTAATATTCTGGGAAAGGTTCTGATCCAGCCCTCCCCACTCTAATTGAGCCAGGCCCTAGAACTCATTATTTCATTACCATCCACTTGCATTGTCTCAATGCAATCTCTGTTAATGTCTAATCTGGCATTTCCTTTCTCAACTCTTCAGTTTCATTAAACACAAACTGTAGAAGACTCCTAGTTTGTGACCATACCTTCTACTGTTTAGAATTCTGAAACTGTGTTCCTAGTCCAACCTCTTCCCCAGGGCAGGAGTAAGTACTGTCAGTTGCATTTCCTGCAAAGATGAGGCTAATTCAAGAAGTGGAGTGGGGTACCTGTAACTTTGTTTAGCAGCCCGCTCTGCGTTGTTAAAATAGTCTCCCTTTTGGTGAACCAAAGCCTGTAAATGCCTCTGTGAGTCCCATCTGTTTATCCAAGGTGTGCCTTCAAAGATGCACAGAGGTGCGGACACCACAGCAGAGCTCTTGAGGAACATGGAGACATCGCTCGTGCGTGCCCCCCCCAAGTCTGCTCTAACTGCCCCTCTCCCAGCTTGTCTCTCAGACCCCTCAGTGACCTGGTTGCTCTCCCCAGTGAAGCCTCAGCTCGCCCATGGCCCTCCTGAAATACTCATGACCCCTGAATCCTCCAGGCGTGGAGGACAGTGTGGGCTGCGCTTTCTGCTCCTCTCCAATGGAGCAGAGGTGAACCCCATTTTTCTTCTTTTAAATCCTTAGCAACTTTGTCTCTAGAGGCAAGGCCTCGCTAAACCATTCACGTTAAGGATTGGGTTGAGGAGGACTGAGATTATCATGAAACTGCAACTCTATTCAGTTTG